GATCACAAATCACTTAGTTTCAATATATCATGGAATTACCCAGATAACTGCAACCAAGTCTCTGTCCCAGACTTCTGCTTTCCCGATTTCATGGCACTTAGAAATTACCTGGGTGGGCTAAATTGAGATGACCTGACTATAGGTCAGGTAGGTGATCTTGGTTGCCAATATGACGTTTTTCAGAGCATAGTTCTAGCTGCCCAGGCAACTTTTGTTCCGGGTAGGGAAATTAGATCTAATAAAAATTATCCTAAATGGATGAACATTAGATTAAAACATCTCATTGGTCAAAAGAGAGGCATATATATGCATATCAAAAGAGGGGATGGGCAGTTAAGAAATCAATATATTCAGTTAAAGAGAGAAATAAAAAAAAGGAATAAGAAAAGCTAAAAGAGATTATGAAGCTAAGGTCGAACGGGACTCGAAGACTAACCCAAAAGGGTTCTTTCAGGTATACAGAAGCAAGATTATGGACAAGATAGGCCCACTTAAGAGTACTTCCTCTCAGTTTTTACCCAGGAAGATACTAGCGAAATTCCAGAAATACAAAATTATTTTGAACAGGGCGATAATAAACTATGCACGATTGGAGTAACTAGTGACATGATCCTCAGACAAATAGAGAAATTTAAATCTAACAACTCCCCAGGCCCTGATGAATTGTTTGCAAGAGTTTTCAAGGAATGTAAAGAGAAACTTAGCAAACCTTTGGCTAATCATTTCAACATATCACTACAAACCATACCCCCGGCCGGGATTGAACCCGCGGTCATAGAGTCTCAAAACTCCAGCCCGTCGCGTTAGCCACTAGACCAGCTAGCCACAATAAGATTCATCCAACTAGGTATATTTCTACACCATAGGAAAGTTAGCACAGGCACCTCTGTGACCACAAACGCAAGTTTTTACAGACGAATCTCCAGCTAGCGTGGCCGTGACGAACTCTAGCTCAAGTCCCTTCACTGCCGTCCTATGGTGTAGAAATATACCTAGTTGGATGAATCTTATTGTGGCTAGCTGGTCTAGTGGCTAACGCGACGGGCTGGAGTTTTGAGACTCTATGACCGCGGGTTCAATCCCGGCCGGGGGTATGGTTTATTTGCAATCGTGTCATTACGATTTCTTAAGTCATATCACTACAAACTGGCATAGTGCCAGATAAGTGGAAAATGGCAAATGTAATACCTATTTACAAGGCAGGTGATAGGTCCTTAGATTCGAACTATAGACTAATAAGCCTTACTTCAACAGTGGGAAAATTTATGGAATCAGTAATTGCCGAGGCAATTCATTACCATCTTGAAAGGCATAAATTGATTAATGAATCTCAACAAGGTTTTACAAAGGGGCGTTCCTAACATTTTCACTAAAGTATTTGAGGAGGTAGATCATGGTACTGAATATGATTGTGTATATGGACTTCAGTAAGGCTTTTGATAGAGTTTCACTTCAGAGGATATTGAGGAAACTGAAGGCGCACAGAATAGGAAGAATTTTTTTTCTTGGGTAGAGGCATGGTTGACAAACAGGCATCAAAGAGTTTGCATAAATGGGAAGAACTCAGAATGGGGGCACGTCATAACCGGTGTTCCACAGGGGTCAATGTTGGGCCCCTTGTTGTTCACAGTTTACATAAACAACATAGATGAGGGGAAAGGAGTAGAATTAGGGAGGATATGATTGAGGTGTATAACTGGAAAACAGGAATGCATAAAGGCGATGTAAATAGCATGCTAAAAATATCTAGCCTAGACAGGACTCACAGCAATGGTTTTAAGCTGGAAAAATTCAGATTCAGGAAGGATATAGATAAGTACTGGTTTTGGTAATAGAGCTGTGGATGAGTGGAACAAACTCCCGAGTACCGTCATAGAAGCTAAGACGTTGTATAGATTTAAAAACAGGTTAGATAAATGCATGAGTGGGTGTGGGTGGGTTTGAGTTGGAGCTGACTAGCTGGTGCTACTGGGTTAGAAGCCGTGCTCCTTCCTTAAGTGGACGTGACCTGACTGGATGGGCCATTGGTCTAAGCCAGGAGTTGACATGGATCTGCCCCGCATGGGCCAGTAGGCCTGCTGCAGTATTCCTTCTTTCTTACTTTCTTATGTCATCACTATGTTGATGACTTCTCTATAGCTTGTGCAGTCGCTGACTGTCACCTCATTGCACTTTCTCTCCAGCATGCCGTCAACCGTGTTTCCAATTGGGCCACCACGCATGTGTGTAAATTTTCCAGTACTAGAACTCACCAAATTACTGTTACTAGACGTTCTGTCATCTCTGATTATCCATTGTACTTCTATGGCTCACGTAACCCAGAACATGATACGGTCAGGTTTCTCGGCCTTCTGTTTGACCGTAGGTTATTCTGGAAACCTCACATTACCTCTCTGAAGGCTATTTGTCACAGCCGGCTGAACCTTCTTAAAACCCTCGCTCATCTTTCAAGGGGAGTTGATCGTAGAACTCTCCTTCGCCTACATTCAACCCTAATTTTATCGGAACTCGATTAAGGTGACCAATTCTATTCGGCGGCCTGTCATGCTACTCTCTCTAACCTTAATCTCATCCATCACCAAGGATTACGTTTATGCCTCGGTGCTTTTCGCTCTTCACCTGTTGAGAGTCTCTGTACTGAAGCAAACATTCCATCCTTGTCCGATCGCCGTGATGCTTATTGCCTTCGCTATTATGTTCGCTCTCATGACCTCCGCAATCCTTCCATATATATAGAATAGTCACTGATGTTAGTAGACATTCTTTATTTGTTCGTCGCCCCTGTTTACTCCGTCCCTTTTCTCTTCTCCTACATTCGCTTTTGTCTTCCCTTCACTTAACACTTTTCTATGTTCATGTAGCATCTCACTTTTCCGTACCCCCTTGGGAAGTTTCAGCTGTTCGTGTCTGTTCTTTCTCACTGCCATGCGCGAAAGCCCAACTGCCTACGGTAGCTTCCCGCTCTCTTTTTCTTGACCACTTCCGCTCTCATTCTCATGCCATCGCAGTGAACACAGATGATTCTAAGTCTTCTAAACGCGTCGGATTCGCAGCAGTGTTTCTGGACAGTGTCGTGCAAGGGCATTTACTATCCTCGCCTAGCATTTTTACTGCTGAATTGTATGCCATTCCTGCAGCACTTATCCGTACTGCATCTATGCCTTTGTCACCATTTGTTGTTGTTTCAGCCTCCCTAAGTGCTTTACAGGCTATACGAAAATTTGATACACCTCACCCCCTAGTTTTCCGTATCCAACTTTGGTTAAGCCGTATCTCTACCAAGCACAAAGACATTGTTTTTTTACTGGGTCCCTGGTCATGTTGACGTACAGGGCAATGAACAAGCAGACACTGCTGCGAGGTCAGCAGTACATGACCTCCCAGTTTGGTCTGGTCTGCTCTATAAAAAACTTCATTCTATTAAACCGAGTATAGGTTACTTGCCATCTACTTGTCATCAATGTCGAGATTGGGAGATTACTCTCTCCCGTCTTCGCATCGGCCACACTCGTCTTACTCACGGGTAACTCATGGAGAGGCGCCCTCTTCCTCTCTATGAGAATTCTCAAGTTCCAGTATCAGTTAGCCGCATTCTGTTGGACTGCCCAGTCTGTCAACATGTATGCAGAATTTACCTCCAACGTCGTCTCTGCTCTGCTGCTCTTTCTTTACCTTCTCTTCTTGCTGATGGACCCTCCTTTAATCCACACTCTCTCATTGACTTTTTGACAGCAACTTACTCCACAAACTCTAATAATGATACCTTTAGAACTCCCCTCAGTCCTTTGTATCTCAATCTCTTGCTACCCTCTACCCTTGCACTATCCACTGCCCTGCTGTACTCCATAACCTACTAATCATCCCTCTCCCTCTTGCTACCCGATACTCTCACATCCTTCCCTGCCCTGCAGTGCTGTATAGCCCTTGTGGTTTAGCGCTTCTTCTTGATTAAAATAATAACACAAACAGGCAAGTTGGGATGGCCTCATCGCTGAAAAGGTGCTTGCCAACATACTTAGGGATGTAACATCAGACAGGGAGACTGCCCCGTCTTCAAGCTGTGAGTGTACATCACTCTTGGAACTTCCTCTAAACAGTTCCCATTTCGGCAATGGGAACACGCCTAGACCCTAAGACTCTCCGTACTGTAGTGGCTTTCCGACTCACTGCAGCAAACAATATTCACAGCCGAGCAAACTGCCCGGGCAAGCTCTTAGCAAGGGACTATACCTGCATGACGCTGGCTGACACCTACATCCATCATAGTGTCGGGCGACGGGGAGGAGATGCTGATCACAGGGTGGAGTACGAGATCGGCAAATACAGAGACATAAGACAACAGTATCAATTTGTCCCTGTGTTGTCAGAGACCTTGGAATCATGGGTAAAATACACCACACACTTCCTTAAGGAACTGGGTTCCAGACTCATCGACACCACCAGGGACCTGAGGGGGCCCTCTTTCATGTTCCAGTGCCTTAGTGTGGCCATCCAGAGGGAAATGCATGCTGCATACTGGGCTCACGTCCGGCTTTGGAGGAGCTGGAGAAGATTCATAATTTTTGATATAATGTATCAATGTATTCAAGTTTGTATTTTTTTGTCAGTGTATGCTGTCTATAAACAAAATTCACATATAATATAGAATATACGGGGTGGCAGGAGAAGAAAATATTAAAAAAAAAAATCCGGGGAGAACCTTAACTTTTCCCTGAAGTACGTTTATTCTCTTCTCTGAGGATGAGTCACCCCAGTACAGTTCCAGAGGTGGTACCTCCCTCTCTGTGTGTGTGTATATATATATATATATATATATATATATATATATATATATATATATATATATATATATATATATATATATATATATATATATATATATATATGCCTCGTGCCGAATAAGTAAAACTGGTCAATTATGTTAATGTAAAAATTAATAACTTTGTGCCAAAGGTTCCTTAGAAAAATTACCTAATCTTATAATAATGTGCGTAATTTAATTTAGCCTAATCCAACTAAATATATTTTAGATAAGTTTACAGTAGTTTAATAATAAACAAACACAATGAAGTATATTTTTTTCATTACGCTCAGAATGATTTTTGGGAAATTATTGCAAACAAATTTTCGCTTGCCTCATTCGGCAAGAAGAGCGTTGTTATTTAAGGGCTAAATTGCAAGTTTTACCGAGATGATCAGTTAGGTGAGGGACCTGTAAGAGAGAAGTGTTCTGTCATGATGACCTTGCTGGTGAGGTCCTCAACGATCAGTGCCTGGCTGCCCTTTTTGGCTATTGTGTCCGCGACCTTCAGGTACTCAGCTGTCGTCACTAACATGAGCCGCCCAACTTTTTGAGAGTCCATTACTTCACGGAATATCCCAGATTGCACAGACTGTAAGATTATCAGCGGATTATTATATTAATTTTTAATGAGTGTTGCAGAGGTAACACCTACATTGCTATGTAAGAATTGCATACAATACTGACAAGAAGAAAATTAGACACATGTGCAACATCTGGGTATCTTTATTGTAGACGTTTCGCCATCCAGTGACTTGATCACTACAAATTCAAGGACATAACCGGAAGACGTGAGAGGTATATAGAAAAGATGAGGTAATCAATCCCTCAGAGTTGACAAAGTCACTGGATGGCGAAACATCTAAAATGAAAAATATCCAGATCTTGTACATGTGTCTAATTTTCACCATACATTGATATAAATAATATTCAGTTAATAAATTTATGTCTGCATATTAACACTAGACAAGAGCAATCTCAGTGTATTTGCCAAAATATTTTCTATTATAAATTCAGTACTTTGGACACTTGATAATACGTTACATCATAGTCCTATTATAATTTGTGTTGAAATCACTATAAATATTAACAGAAAACATGAGGTAATGTACATGTTCACATGCCCTTGTAACTATAAGTAAATTTTAAAGATAATTTTGGTATAAATTCGCGTTTTGTTGGTTTTGAGTTGCATCATGTTACTGATGTGGAAAATACGGTATATATTTTCAAGAAATACAGTAGCTATATGTAAATAGATGTCATACTGTATTTAATAATATTTATGTCATAGAAAACGGAAAGCCTGCGTCTGTGCAGAAGGAGAGTCGCCATTGTTATTTTGAATTGGATACAAAGTTAGTGTAATGGGAAGGAATTTTCGTGCTCTAGAGGTTAAAATTAGGCTGACACCTCTCAAATAGGAGGCGAAATTGTTGGATGTGCATTCCTGCATAACTTGAGATATCAGGCGACAGGACAGGACAACTCCAGGAACCTCAGATAAGTCTGTTATGTTATAACTCTGGCCAGTTGTTATTTTCATGTATAGACAGTGAGGTTTTCTGAGTATGATACAAGTTAATCTCCAGTTAAATTGGTGAGTGATATTAAGATATTTAATATACAGTCCACAAATTTATATATTTACCAGCATTCCTGGTGATGTATATTTCATTTAATTAATAGGTCCAGAGCAAATTGTGGATATGACAGTGGTAGGTATCGAAGGGGGACTTTTTTGCGACCTAGGTGTCCCAAATTCCTACTTGTCTAACTGATAAATAATAATTATCTATGTTCATTTACTGTTATGTATATAATGATACATTCAAATAAATTTAATTTTCCACAACTGATTAGTAAACTTTGGTTAACCTTAATATATCTCGAAAGTTGTTTTCAAACCTATTTATTATTAATCATAATGAGATTTTATTGTATGCTTGTAAGATACTGACACTAAAATAAAATATTAATAAAATATTTTCGAATAACCCTGTTGCAGCAGCCCTCAACTCGGACATACGTTACGCAGAGTTTTTCGAACTCTACATTTCTTCTGCTAAAATAAATCTATAAGGACAAACTAAGCCGTGACTAGTAATACACAACAGATGAACTATATTCATGGATAGCTAATAAAACTCACCTGAATATACTGCATGGAGATAGTGCCAGCTTCAAATACCATAGTTGCCCGAGAGTCGTCAACCAGGTCTCTCAAGGTCTGGTAAGGCTGTGGTATGTACCTTACTGCTAGGATAGAGGTGAGCATCCCAGCGTAGGTGCGTGACAATACTAGCACCATCACCAACCATCCTCCCAGCACCAGCCTCTCCCACCAATGCTTACCTCCACCTCGTGTGTCTGTTGAGGCACAAACGTGTAGTTATTATCGAACTTTATATTCAGGACGATCGACCAAGCTGAATTATCCCTCACACAAACACATTCACACACACACACACACACACACACACACACACACACACACACACACACACACACACAAAATAAGTGCACTAGAAAATGGAAAAAGTACAGAAGGCAAAGAACTCAGGAAAATAAGGAGATTAATTGAAGAGCCAGAAACGAGTATACACAGATGAGGAGGGAGGCCCAGCGAAAGTTGAAAACAACATGGCATCGAAAGTCAGGTCTGACCCGAAACTGCTGTGTAGCCACATTAGAAGGAAGACAATAGTCAAAGACCAGGTGATCAGGCTGAGGAAAGAAGGTGGGGAACTCACAAGAAACGATCAAGAGGTATGTAAGGAACTCAACACGAGGTTTAAGGAAGTATTTACAGTGAAGATAGGAAGGACTCTGGGAAGACAGCACAGAGGGGAACACCAAGGAATACACCAACAAGTGTTAGATGACATGCACACAAGTGAGGAGGAGGTACAGAAGCTGTTAAGTGACCTTGATACCTCAAAGGCAATGGGACCGGACAAGATCTCCCCGTGGGTCCTTAGAGAAGGAGCAATGATTCTGTGGGTGCCACTAACCACAATCTTCAACACATCCCTTGAAACTGGGCAAATATCTGAGGCTTGGAAGACGGCAAATGTAGTCATCATTTTTAAAAAAGGAGACAGAAAAGAGGCACTAAACTATAGACCAGTGTCACTGACGTGTATAGTATGCACAGTCATGGAGAGTGGTGGAGCACCTGGAATGGAACAAGATTATAAACGACAGCCAGCATGGATTCATGGAAGGCAAATCCTGAGTCACAAACCTTCTGGAGTTTTATGATAAAGTAACAGAAGACACGAGAGAGAGGGGTGGGTTGACTGCATTTTCCCGGACTGCAGGAAGGCCTTCGACACAGTTCCTCACAAGCAGAAGCTGGAGGATCAGGCTCGTATAACAGGAAGGGCACTGCAACGGATCAGAGAATACCTGACAGGGAGGCAACGAGGAGTCATGGTACGTGATGAGGTATCACAGTAGGCGCCTGTGACGAGCGGGGCCCCAGAGGGGTCAGTCCTAGGACCAGTGTTATCTTTGGTATATGTGAATGACATGATGGAAGGGATACTCAGATGTGTCTCTGTTCGCAGATGATGTGAATGAGGAGAATTAAATCAGATGAGAATCACGCAGGACTACAAAGAGACCTAGACAGGCTGGACACGTGATCCAGCAACTGGCTTCTTGAATTTAACCCCGCCAAATGCAAAATCATGAAGATTGGGGAAGGGTAAAGAAGACCCCAGACAGAGTACAGGCTAGGTGGACAAAGACTACAAAACTCACTCAAGGATAAAGATCTAGGGGTGACTATAACACCGAGCATGTCTCCGGAGGCACACATCAACCAGATAACTGCTGCAGCATATAGACGCCTGGCAAACCTGAGAACAACATTCACATACCTTAGTAAGGAATCGTTCAAGACACTGTACACTGTGTACGTCAGGCCAATACTGGAAAATGCAGCACCAGTTTGGAACCCACACCTGGTCAAGCACGTCAAGAAATTAGAGAAAGTACAAAGGTTTGCAACAAGGCTAGTTCCGGAGCTCAGGAAAATGTTCTACGATGAAAGGTTGAAGGAAATCGGCTTGACGACACTGGAGGACAGAAGGGTCAGGGGAGACATAACCACATATAAAATACTGCGTGGAATAGATAAGGTGGACAGAGACAGGATGTTCCAGAGAGGGGGCACAATTGGAAGTTGAAGACTCAGACTAGTCACAGGGATGTTACGAAGTATTTCTTCAGTCAAAGAGTCGTCAGGGAGTGGAATAGCCTAGCAAGTGATGTAGTGGAGGTAGGAACCATACATAGCTTTAAGACGAGGTATGACAATGCTCGGGGAGCAGAGACAGAGAGGATCTAGTAGTGATCAGTGAAGTGGCAGGGCCAGGAGCTGAGTCTCGGCCCCTGCAACCACAATTAGGTGAGTACAATTAGGTGAGTAAACAGGATGTCACAAGATCGACACAATCTATGTCAAGGAGGCACCAGCGGAGGAAATTAATAGAGATTAGGTGAATTATGTCGGATAGAGAAGATCTACTTAGGGAATAAGCGCAGGCAATAACAGAGTACTTACAGAATCCTTGTTCAGCTTCACTAGAAGTGAGGGAAAAAGTAGCTTATGCACTGTACAGTAAGAGATACAAGAATCATAGAGTGATACTCATATGTAGGAGGAGTCACCAACAAATGTGAAACTTGAAAGAAAGAGTAACAGAGGAAGACCCCGATACAGTAGCTGTTAAAGAAATGAAACTTTCCTGAATATCAATCACTGGAGATCAGAGAAACTAGGAAAACTGGAAACAGAATTTCAGGGATTTTATATCAGTACCGTAATGTTCAGATAAACAAGTGATAGATGGAGTGATGTTTTATCCACCAATAAATATCAGAAGACCAAGGGAGGAGTATGTTCAGAATAACAAGATAATGATTAACTTTGAGTGGAGTCAGTGGCAGTGAAGGCAAGAAGAAACAGAGCTGAACTCTTAGTATTAACTGGGAAATCCGTGACCTCCAGGATGACCAAAAACATGGAGAGCCAGTATGTGAAAAAAGGCAATATGTGAAAGAAAGAAGAAGAATGAAGAGTGTGTTGAACAGCAAGACTCGACCTGGTTTTTCACAAAGCGATGACATAGTTCAAATTAAGTGTGGAGAACCCATAGGCTCCAACAGTCAGGAAGTACTAAGTTTTGAATACCTTATGAGAATGGGATTGGAGAAGATAATGGAGAAAATGAGTAGCAGAAAATCGAACTACAAATAGGAAGATCTTTGATAAAATGAGAATAAGAGAAGTACAATAGAAACGGAAATTGAGGAGGAAAATTATTCAGGAAGGGATGAAGATGGAAGAGGCAATGCAACAAGAGGCAAAGTTAAAGTCTATACTAAGCATGAAGAAAAAAAACAAGAAAAAAAAAGACACTTTGGTTCATTCATGAAAACAGAGAAGTTAAGGGAAGCAAGAGTGTGTGGACAAAACACAGAGCAACTCAAACCTCAGAAAATTAGAAATCAGCAGAAGAGTCAGAAAGGAACACGCTACAAAAAAAAAGAAAACTGAAAGACATCTTGAAAATGACAGCATCAACAACCCAGACACAACTGAACTACTTCTACAGCTACACGGAAAAAAAAAACATTAAGTTTACTGTGGAATGTGAGGTAAATAGAATTACCCCATTTCTGGATATACATTTCCACAGATTTGGTACAACATTTAAGTTCAATGTCAATCGTAAGCTTACTAACATACGTTCATACATATATTACTATTCAAATCATCCAATACATATTAAACAGTATATATATTTCTATGTTTCTGAGAGCCCTTAGGATTTGTAGTCCTGAATTCCATTATGGAGAAGTTAGAAAAATCTATGAAATTATTTCAAACCAACAATATCAACGTATGTTTATTGATAAAGATCTTCGCAAAGCTAAAACAAACGTTCCACGAGACACTAGAACTGACTGGTGACCCACATCCTCAGAGAACAGAATAAACGAACTTCAGTAAAAACTTATGAGGTTTCTTCTCGCAGCTGTTGTAGTTTTTTTTTATCCTATCACTCCCTTTATTCTCTGTGGTCTTTATTTGAAAGTATATTAAAAAGATACAGTGGGTAAGAGAACAATATGCTGTGGACCTGCTCAAGTTGTGGCTGTGGACTTGCTTAAGTAGAAGCTGTGAACCTGCTCAAGTAGTGGCTGTGAACCTGCTAAAGTAGTGGCTGTGGACCTGCTCAGGTTGTGGCTGTGGACCTGCTAAACTAATAGCTGTGAACCTGCTCAAGTAGTGGCTGTGGACCTGCTCAAGTTGTGGCTGTGGACCTGCTCAAGTTGTGGCTGTGGACATGCTCAACTTGTGGCTGTGAACCTGCTCAAGTAATGGCTGTGAACCTGCTCAAGTTGTGGCTGTTGACATGCTCAACTTGTGGCTGTGAACCTGCTCAAGTAATGGCTGTGAACCTACTCAATTCTGGCTGTGGATCTGCTAAAGTAGTGGCTGTGAACCTGCACAAGTAGTGGCTGTGAACCTGTTCACGTTGTGCATGTGGACCTACTCAAGTTGTGGCTGTGTTCCTGCTCAAGTTGTGGCTGTGGACCTGCTCAAGTAGTGGTTGTGAACCTGCTCAAGTTACTCTTCACTAAACCCATTTTCTAATTATATGACGTAATAAAATTGCAGTAAATATAAAACTGTTTTCTCCTTTAGCGTTCAGTATATCCATAACATAATGTTGAAAGTTAATAGCAAGAGTTTTATATTACTTACCTTGCTGGAACATTAATTAGTGGAAAATGTTTTTATGACTTACCTTGCTGAAATATTGATTTAAACCTTTTTTTTTTGTAGCCTACCTTGTTGGAACATTAAATAACATATTTGTATAATTTACCTTGCTGGGACAATAAATATACCTATAACGACCACCGTTGGAACAACTTACCCTTTTGGAACAACACTTGTACATATATCTTACCTTGTTGGAACAACACTCATGCATATAACTTACTTTGCCTAAAGGACACTCATACACATAACGAACATTGCTGAAACAATGCTTAACTCTTTTTAAGAGCACTCATGCACATAACTTACCTTGTTGCAATAAAACGCGTATATATAAGCCGAAGTTGGTAGTGACCTGGCTAGCAAGACTGGTATCCCGACGCGGGAAGTACAAGGACAGGACAAACGAGGTTCCCAGCAACATCAGTAACGTTGCCAGGAGGAACGTCCACACTAGAGGCTGCAGAGGCAGTAGGAAGCCCCAGGGGTCTACCTCAGATCGCCCTCGACCTCCCATGATACGTATATAGTCGACCAATATTAACCTCGTAAAATCGACCATCTCAGCGCGAATTGAACTTATACCAAAGGGGCCAAGACCAAGATCCGCCTCCTGAACCGTCCAAACATAAACAATAAAATTAGTCAGGGTTTAGGTAAAAATTCATATATTATTATCCCGGTGTTGCAGCCTATGACTTAGGAAAAGCAAAAACATATTTGACCCTCATTCTACTAGTGCAACGGAAAATTAATCTAAGAGAGTATTTCATAGAAATTAATTAGAATAAAATGTTACCAGAACGGACATTAAAAAATAGTATATGAAAAATGAAAAATGTTGCAATACGTAATAGAATTTATCAATATCTTCCAAAAACAGAAAACAGGTAAAACAATATAGTAGAGTTTAACGCAAATGCTGGAAAACTAATGTGAAAAAATACATGGAATCAGTAATGAAAGCTTGACTATATACTAATAAATATGCGTTTCTTAATTTTGATATACTGAGATCTTATAATAACCCCTATATACTAAGAATTAAATTATTCTTCACGGGATCTGTGCATGTGACATATAACGTTAATTGTGTGGTCGGTAGGCTTCAAGCCCAATGAAACAATCAACCAAACTACTGAAAGTGTGGAAAATTCAATTTACCTGGATGTATCTCATTAGATACATACCAGTAAATGGTAACAAAGATAATTATTATTTATCAAAGTTACAAAGACAAGTAGGAATTATGGGACACCTAGGTCACAAAAATGTCCCCCTTCGATACCTACCATAATCTATCTCTCCACAAGTTGCTCTAGACCTATATTAATTGCAAATGAAATGTACATCACCAGGAATTCTGATAAAATTTAATATCAATTTGTGGACTGTATATTAAAATTAATAAATGATTACATATACACATTTATATAACAGAAGGAGAATTTATAATCATAACACTCACCAATTTGTTTGGAGATTACTGTGTATCATACTCAAAAACCTCCCTGTTTACATTTATGAAAATATTACTGGCCAGAACTAAACATAAACATGGACATCTTATCTGAGGTTCCTGGAGCTGTCCTGTCCATCTGCTTAATGCTCAAGTTATGCAGGAATGCACATCCAACAATTTCGGCTTCGATTTGAGAGGTTTTAAGCCCAATATAACCCGTAGAGATACGAAAATTATGCACGTTATATTAGCGTGCTTGTACCACATTAAAAAAACAATGGCGTCTCTCCTGCTCGTCAGCACAGGCGCAGAGCTTCCCTGTCGGTTCACTTCTTTAAAATACACTTTTAATCAGGTTTATTTACACAGCATAATTTTGGGAAATTATTTTCCACAGAAAGAACTCCAAAACAAAAAGTTAGAAATTTAAAGGAGTCAGAAACGAATGAATATAGTGACATAAGGAGAAAGAAACTTGGAAAAGAAATAACAGATCAGAAGAATTTCTTATTCATGTTACATGTGAAAGATAAAAAATACAAGGTCGAAAATAAAATTAACAAGTTTGAGGAATCAATATAAATGGTATACAATACCGACAAATTCATAAGACACATTTGCAACAGTTAAGTGTCTTTATTCCGAAACGTTTTGCCCACACAGTAGGCTTCATTTGTAGAATACAGAGATGGCACCTCTTGATTCGACTGATGAAGCCTACTAGGTATGCGAAAGGATTCGGAATAATTAAGTCAGAGAGATAGTTTATAAGATTCTAAACATGAAGCTTCAGAGTGTATTTACGAAAGACAAAATAATCGAAAACGACTAATGAACCCTACAAATGGTTATAACTATAACCATATTTTTAAAGGGGTGGACTGGTTAGCCAGCTCCAACGGCGGGTAATCATCTGACTAAGATCCGCGTCAGGAAACACTTGTCCTGTTTCCAGACGAACTTTAGTTAACCTAACTAGCACTGAATATCCAACATCCTAGAGAAATGTAATCAGTGGCGTAACTAAAATAAAAGAACAACTGTTATTGGATATTGCCAAAAATAAATGTAAAAGGCCCTTCAATACGGGGAAGTTTCCTTGATGACAGTCAATGGCTCTTGATATAAAGAACTGGAGACACTAAATTATTTCTCGGATTAAACCTTATTATATCCCAATCATCAAAGCTGTATGACCTCGATGAGTTTGTCATTTCCTCATCAATATAATAGAAAGAAGGCAAGGACTAAGCTAAATATCATTCAAAGCTTTGAAGGTCTACTCCTATGTGGAAGACCTAAGCAATCCGAGTATTTTGGGGGAACTTCGCCACAAACTGAGAGAATATTTTAAGTGTGATAGGGCAGATCTTTTAAACTATAGACCTATCTCGCCAAAAAGTGGTTTACAGTCTTTGGAAAATGCACTACAGAAACGTGGAAGCAGTATATGCCTGTCTAATGTGGACAATAACCACAATGAAAAAATATAGTGAAATTCGAAGCTTTTTCGTGATTAATCGTATTAACTTTGATAATTTGACAAATCACGAAAGCACTTGCAATTTCATTATTTTTTTCACTGAGGTTGTTTTGCATATTGTGATATCACCTGTTTAATGTGATCTGACCGCGCGCCTATCTATCATGTTGGATTCTACCCCACTTGCTTCTCTTCCATGCTGGACTAAGTCACTCACATAACTATCTGCCATGCTGAACTCAGCGACACTTTCCTGTTTTCTGCTATGTTGGACTGAGCCACACTCACCTGCCTGCCCACCATGCCAATCATGCCAGACCAAGATCCATCAGGCCGCTTCAGTCCCCATGCTCCATCCGGTGGTCGCGAAAACTTAAACCTGTTGACACAAACATTCACCAGCACACGCAGGATATATACTACCAGAGTGATATATCTCAGAGACAACCATACTCGGTGTTAGGGTTCATGTGAATTACAGCTTTAGTGGCTAATATAATCAAGAGGCTTAAGTATCTAACAGTTTTCTGGGGAACAGCAAAGGCTGCCATTCTCTTACGTAAAGTTGATGGAGTGTGCTAGTAGGTTCAAGAGGTTAACCAGGGGTCCCTTGAATATTTTGGTGTTGTCATTCACTACGTGAGGTGGGAATTCTTCCGCTGCCACCACTAACAGAGGACCATACTTCAGTCTGATGATTATAACTATTATTCAAATATAGTAGTTTTTACACTAATTATAATAATCATTGTCTTTGAAGCTTTATTATTATTATTATTATTATTATTATTATTATTATTATTATTAATCTTTGTTGCATCATACCTAACCACCTCTCATTCCTCAGGCGCTGCACCACCCCGACGGGTTTAATTACCAATTCTCCAAGCTTATAATAATAGTAACAATAACAAAAAAATACAACAACCAACAATGAAACAGACAAAACATAACAAATTGCTTCAAAAATAAAAACAATTCTCATAATAACAATACCTAAAATCAGTTTGCACGACATATACACAAAACGAACATGTGTTTATGTGTGTAAACAATCTTCTGAGCTTACTGAACTTCTAAATACTCTTATCCTTACATTGTTTCTTTCAAATTTCTTGGGGAAATGGGTTAGAGTTCTACATCTGTAAGAAATGCGTGTCACAGAGACTAATTATTATTTTTAAAGAGGTGGGCCGGTAAGTCAGCGGAAGGCCTCGGACAGATGACATAAAAACTCTAGTGGCGAGCCATCTTATGACAGATCTGCGTCAGGAATACTTAACCTGTTTGGTGACAAATCTTACCTAACCTAACAGGACCAAACGGTTAATATATCCTTCTTTTGTATGAATTAATATAAAGGCAAACAGAAAATTTTTAATGTTTACTAGATAAGAAAAAACTGATTGTCAAAAATAATTATGAGGAACTTGAATGGCCTGGCTTTAAGCGAAACAAATATGAAAGGGAGGGGAAAATATCGGTAGGAAGAATTAAGTGGTTTTAATTTAGCTGTATCCATGAGAATCAGAGCTAATGAAGAAGCAAAGATAATAAATGATCAACTGTGAAAAGACGGCGTATAAATGTTTAAATTAAAAAATTATGTGTGATGTGAGAGGTGATTTATTGAGTGTTCAGTCACCTAAGGTTGACAGAAGCAGAGAGAGAGAGAGAGAGAGAGAGAGAGAGAGAGAGAGAGAGAGAGAGAGAGAGAGAGAGAGGAGAGAGAGAGAAAGATGGAGGGGGAATGGAGGAAGGATTTAGGGAGAGAGACAAGAGGGGAGAGGTAGAGAGAGGGGAGGGAGGGAGGGCGAGGAAGGTAGAGAGAGAGAGAGAGAGAGAGAGAGAGAGAGAGAGAGAGAGAGAGAGAGAGAGAGAGAGAGAGAGAGAGGGGGGGGGGAGAGAAAGAGAGGGAGAGAAAGAGAGGGAGAGAAAGAGAGGGAGAGAAAGAGAGGGAGAGAAAGAGACGACTGTACACTGACATTCACTTATCCAAGAGAAGAAATGCCAGCTGCTCTAAGCTACATCAATCACCAGCTGAGAGCTATATCAGCTTGGGGAAATAGATGGCAAGTAACATTTGCCCCTGAGAAAACGCAAATGATGATCGTCTCTACGCACCATGATGGTAATGCTGGTGCAGTAGTAAGGATGAATGGGAGGATGTTGGCACCTGGAGAAGAAGTTGATATCCTTGGGGTGAAATTTGACTCCAAACTAACCATGAAGAACCATGTTGTATATCTTGCAAACAAGGCAGCCAGGAAGCTTACAGAACTTCTCCGTATCTCGCATCTGCTTGACAGTAGGGGTTGCAAGATCCTGTACGAGGCACAAGTACGCTCACACCTTGAGTATGCTCCACTTTCTTGGTTTGCCTGCCCCCCCTCTCATCTGCGACTGCTTGACAGAGTAGAGAACAGAGCAAGACGTCTCATCTCTCGCCTGGACCCATCCTGGATAGATCTGTCATTTCAGCAGAGCCTTCAACATAGGAGGGATGTGGGTGGCCTTACTGTTACGTACAAGGATAATATTGTCAAAATACCACACTTGGATCCACTTCGAGGACAGCGTGAAACAAGCTTTTATGCCACAAGACGGGCAGAAAGCACCAACTTCACTCTGGCTGTACCCTTCTCCAGAACATCACTCCATCTGAGATCATACATACCCAGGATGACTCGAGTATGGAACACATTCGTACAGCATAATGATGTCAACGAGATAAAGTCAGTTGATCAAATGAAAATGCTGGCCCACAGATGGCTCCAACTTCATCCTGTTCCCTACTTGTATGTCTCATAACAATAAAAATGCTTTCAAATGAGCTGATGTAGGTAACAGCTCTTAGCTTGCCAATAAAGTTACGAATCCTTAACCTGTAATATAGCTGTCAATAAAGCTAGGGATCCTTAACCTTGTCAAACCCTGTGTAAAAAAAAAAAAAAAAAAAAAGAGCGAGAGAAAGAGAGGGAGAGAAAGAGAGAGAGAGACGAAAAGAGAGACGGGGAGAGAAAGCATATGTATGCATTTATTCGTTGGAATCATGGCTAGAGCTAATAGTGAGCAGGTTATAACAAGTGGAGAAAAATAAATTGGAATGACTTATGCAGCAAGGAGCGACACCACAAAACAGTAGCGGCAGCTTGGTGAAAAGACCCCGGAAATTTGAAATTACGCTAGCCGAAATTAGTGCAGGATATATATAATATATATATATATATATATATAATATATATATATATATATATATATATTTATATTATATATGTATATATATTTATATTATAATATATATATATATATATATATATATATATATATATATATATATATTATATATATATATATATATATATATATATATATATATATATATATATATATATATATATATATATATATATAATATATATATATTATATATGTATATATATTTATATTATATATATATATATATATATATATATATATATATATATATATTATATATATATATATATATATATATTATATAATATATTTATATTATATATGTATATATATTTATATTATATATGTATATATATTTATATTATATATGTATATATATTTATATTATATATGTATATTATATTTATATTATATATGTATATATATTTATATAATATATATATATATATATATATATATAAATATTATATATATATATATATATATATATATATATATATATATATATAAGAACTTTGTCCTTGGAGGCAAAGAGGGGAATGTATGAGAGTATAGTTTTACCAACGCTCTTATATGGGTGTGAAGCATGGGTGATGAATGTTGCAGCGAGGAGAAGGCTGGAGGCAGTGGAGATGTCATGTATGAGGGCAATGTGTGGTGTGAATATAATGCAGAGAATTCGTAATTTGGAAGTTAGGAGGAGGTGCGGGATTACCAAAACTGTTGTCCAGAGGGCTGAGGAAGGGTTGTTGAGGTGGTTCGGACATGTAGAGAGAATGGAGCGAAACAGAGTGACTTCAAGAGTGCATCAGTCTGTAGTGGAAGGAAGGCCGGGTAGGGGTCGGCCTAGGAAAGGTTCGAGGGAGGGGGTAAAGGAAGTTTTGTGTGCGAGGGCTTGGACTTCCAGCAGGCATGCGTGAGCGTGTTTGATAGGAGTGAATGGAGACAAATGGTTTTTAATATTTGACGAGCTGTTGGAGTGTGAGCAAAGTAACATTTATGAAGGGGTTCAGGGAAACCGGCAGGCCGGACTTGAGTCCTGGAGATGGGAAGTACAGTGCCTGCACTCTGAAGGAGGGGTGTTAATGTTGCAGTTTAAAAACTGTAGTGTAAAGTACCCTTCTGGCAAGACAGTGATGGAGTGAATGATGGTGAAAGTTTTTCTTTTTCGGGCCACCCTGCCTTGGTGGGAATCGGCCAGTGTGATAATAAATATATATATATATATATATATATATATATATATATATATATATATATATATATATATATATAATATATATATATATAGTTTTTATTAACACATATTTATATAAATATGCAATACAATAAGAGACAGGCGTTCTTCGCAATGTAAGAAAACCCACAGGTAATGGAAATCTTCAGCGCAAGTACTTTCACACGTCTCCGTGCGTCACCAGGAGTTGTGTAATGTTGCAAGTTTAGCAACAGGGAAAATGAGGGAAAGTTTCCTCAGAATAAAGTAACATGGTGACACCAGCCGGAGATGGGCAGGACTGCTGGCATCACCATGCTGCCTTTCTCTGAGACAACTTACCTTCATTCCGTCCACAGGCCGTGTCGGTGGGATACGGCCAATTTGTTGAATACACACACATACGGAGTGTTGTGTATCACTTTGAGATTTGCAAAACATGCAAAGAACGAAGACCTATGAATGCTATTGCAAACAGTCTCAGTAGAGATCTGAGGAAGCGTCCAAGTCAGTGGAATAATATTGTTTCCATTAAAATATTCTTGATGTTAATATAAATGACCCACGTTCATTAGCTTAACTAACTAAAAAAGTCTAGAGTTACCTGGAGAACTTCTCAGGGAAGAGCTGGAGATGAGTGTGGAAGGTGAGGTTGTGATGGGGTGACCAGCTGGCTACTTGTACCACCTGAGTCTCCATGGGGCTGTAGGGCAGGTGTACGTACACACTACACCTGCAATAACACATTGTCCAGAAGAGAAAATTGTTCCTGCGTCAGAATTATTACTTTAGAAGAACATTGTGTCCAACGTTCAACATGATCAATAAATGCACTATCAAAATATTTAGCGCATGTTAATACATGCGTCAGCAAAAATCACCTAACATGGGTTTTCGATACATGGTGACCAGTTCAGTAGTGTTCTTCTCCCTATGGCGATGAAACATGAAGTATATCATAGCGAATGCAACAATAGTGTCACCAGTCATGGTTATGTTTGTGGCAGCCATCAACCCAGTAGCGAGTCGCAGTGATTTAAGGATGGTGTTGAGCCAGTGCATAGATTGTGAGAATTAGACAGCATTGGAATAAATGTAAATGAAGAAAGTCCAGACGATTCTTTTACTCAAGAACAATACCTGAGAGATGTAAAATTTGAATCTGGACAATACTGGGTACGACTTCCGTGGAGACTGAACCATCCAGAATTGCCCACTAATTACAGAATGGCATATGGACAATTAAAGGCTCAGCTCCGCGAACTGAGTAAGACACCAGAATTGTTAACTGCCTATAATGATATAATTGCTGAGCAGTTAATTAATAAATTTATAGAAGAGGTACCTCCTGAGCAAGCCAAAATTTATGGTCACTATTTGCCACATCATGGAGTGAAGAAGGATTCTAAGCCCACTCCTTTGAGGATTGTGTTTAATTGTAGTGCCAGGAGTAACAAAAATGTACCTAGTTTAAATGACTGTTTGATGACAGGTCCGTCGTTGACGGAAAAATTAAGAGATATCTTATTAAATTTCAGGATGAAAAATTATGCCTTTAAGGCTGACATAAGTAAAGCTTTCCTATGAGTGGGTTTACAAGAGGCTGACCGGGATTGTACCCGCTTCTTATGGCCTGAGAATCCTAGTGACCCACTTAGCCCTCTGAAAGTCTTTCGCTTTAGGAGCGTATTATTTGGTGCTACATCCAGTCCGTTCCTACTTCAAGCGACGATAAATGCACACCTTAAATGTACGGGAAGTCCATTGAGTAAAGTAATGAGCAAACAATTTTATGTGGACAATTTCCTTGGTGTGACGTCAACTGAAGAGGAACTGTTAATGAATTATGGAGAGGCTAATAAAATAATGCAAAGTGCAAATATGCCTCTGAGAGAATGGAATAGTAATTCGTCCAAATTGAAGGACAAAATAAGTCAAGATTACCCTGGAGATGAAGTGCCAAAATGTAGTAATGTATTGGGTTTAAATTGGGATACTGAGAGAGATTTGTTAATGTTGAAACCTAATAATTACAGTATGCCCAATAAATTAACTAAGAGAGTTTTGCTTGCTGAAGTTTCCAAATGTTTTGATCCACTAGGTTTAGTGTCACCCCTTACTATAAGAGGGAAATTATTAATTCAGGAAGCATGGAAACTTATATGTGCTTGGGATGAAATTCTACCTGAGGAATTCATTAACAGGTGGGATGAATTAATTGGTGATTATGAAAAAATTCCAGTGTTGGAGATCCCACGCCAGGGGATTTGCTTATCTTCAATGTAATAGTGTTATTTCTCTTGTTATGTCTAAGGCTAAAGTGTCTCCAATTAAATTATTAGCGACACTGTAATTTGGTCTGATAATGAGGTATCCTTACAATGGATTCGTAATGGAAACAGTAAAATTGTGTACGTACAAAACAGAGTCGCTGAAATTAATCAGATGCAAGGGAAGTATAATAGTTTGGGTCAGCATATGTTAACATTTAATCATATACCTGGTGAGGAGAATCCAGCTGATTTCTTGTCTCGAGGTTTACCTTATGCTAAATTTGTAAATGCTGTATCATGGTTTAAAGGACCGAGCTGGTTGGTAAATAAAGCTAATTGGCCTGTACAAAAGGTGTATATTGCTCCTGTTGAAATTACTGTGACCACCACTCCAATAGTTTGTCCTTCCTTAGCCCTTGATATAAATAGGTATTCTTCTTTACCCAAACTAATCAATGTAACTAAATTGGTGTTTAAATTTCTAAACAAGACGAATATTTCATATAAGTTTTCACATCCTCTTGAATATTGGATAAAGAGGGTACAGGAGGAAATCTATGGAAATGAGATTAAATTGATGATGGAAAGAAAAATTGTGAAAGGTTCTATAATAGAGAAATTGGGGCTGTATTTAGAGAACAATGTAATTAGGTGCAGACGTAGGTTACAAAATGCTGAAATGTGTGATTATGCTAAACACCCTATCTTACTGCCCAAAACTCATCATATAACAAATTTGATTGTTCTAAATGCCCATAAAAATGTAATGCATGGTGGGGTACAAGATACCTTAAATTGTATTAGGGAAACTTTCTGGATTCCACAAGGACGGCAAAGAGTAAAAAGGGTGATTAAATCTTGTGTAATATGTCGCCGTGTGGATGCCAGATCTTATATGTACCCAGGTCCTCCACCATTGCCAAAGTAGCGTGTACAATTAGTGAAACCAATTGATGTAACAGGTGTAGACTATAGTGGTCCAATAATTTTAACAGGTACGTCAAATGATGTTCCACTGAAAGTGTATGTTTGTTTGTTCACCTGCACTGCTACAAGGGCAGTTCATTTAGAAGTGGCACAGGACTTGTCTGCGGAACAGTTTATACAGCTGTTTCGAAAATTTGCAGCTAGGAGATCCTGTCCGAGGTTGATGATTTCGGATAATGCCACAAATTTTGTAGCAGGTGCTCAACACTTGATAGAATTAAATAATAGCAGCGATGTTCAATCTCTGTTAACCCAGCGAGGGCGTACCTGGAAATTTATTACTCCTAGAGCCCCTTGGCATGGGGGGGCTGTACGAAAGACTGATAGGCACAGTGAAGAGGTGTCTCCGCAAAGTACTACACCGGAAGAGAATTGATTTGGAAGAACTCTGTGCAGTGTTAGTGGAGGCAGAAAATCGTATATATAATAGGCCTCTCTCGTACATGAGTGATACACCTGATGCAGATGTATTAACACCTTCTCACCTAATATGTGGAAGGGAATTGGAAGCTGCCCCTGTCTATAGAGATAATCCGGAAGAAAGTGATGAAGATTATAATGATGCAGCAGTGTTGTGTAATAAATTTAAAATGTTAAATAAAGTAATTGATCATTGGTCTAATGTGTGGCGTAAGGAATTATCTTCTTACACTACGTTAACACTTTTATGGTGCGACAGAGGCAGTAAATCGACAGACCATTCAATCAGGTGACATTGTGTTAATTGACACTGAACAACATCGAACATTGTGGCCTCTGGGCAAAGTATTGACATTGTACCCAGATGCACAAGGTGTTGTCAGGAATGTCAAAGTGTTGTGTCGTGGCCAGGAAAGTTTACGCACAATTAATAAATTGATTACCTTGGAATTAGGTGTTCAATCAAACGTAAATGAAAATCTGAGGGAAAGTGACACGAGTGATATGGAAGATAACGCAGACCAAGTGATGCCGGAAGATGAAATCATAGTAAGACCTACTAGGAAAACAGCCACTCAAGCCAGAACTGGCTGGAATCGTCTCCTAAAGGAAGGAGTAATTTGAATCGTTTAGCAACGAACTCCGGCCCGCCGCAGTGTGGAAAATACTGTATATATTTTTCCAGAAATTCAGTATTTATATGTAAATAGATGGCCATACTGTATTTAATAATATTTATGTCATAGAAAACGGAAAGCCTGCGTCTGCGCAGACGAGACTCTCCATCTTGGTTTTGAATTGGATACAACGTTAATATAATGGGAAGAATTTTTCGTGCTCTAGAGGTTAAAATTGGATTGACACCTCTCAAATAGGAGGCGAAATTGTTTGTGCATTCCTGCATAACTTGAGATATCAGACGACTGGACAAGACAGCTCCAGGAACCTCAGATAAGCTCTCTAGATATGTGCATAATTCTGGCCAGTGTTTTCATAAATTTAGTTAGTGAGGTTTTCCTGAGTATGATACAACTTAATATCCAGTCAAATTGGTGAGTGATATTAAGATATATTTTCCTTCTATTATGTATATGTGAATTTATATATAATCATTTTTAATATACAGTCCACAAATTTATAGATTTACCAGTATTCCTGGTGCATGTATATTTCATTTAATTAATAGGTCCAGAGCAACTTGTGGATATGACAGTGGTAGGTATCGAAGGGGGACATTTTTTGCGACCTAGGTGTCCAAAATTCCTACTTGTCTATGTAACATTGATAAATAATAATTATCTTTGTTATCATTTACTGTTATGTACATAATTAGTTACATTCAGATAAATGTAGTTTTCCACACATATATTTACCCATACTTCAGTAACTTTTCACCTTATGTCTTTTTTTTAAACGACTGCATTTTAAAGTTAATTCATTTATTACCATTTATGTATTCCAAACGATTTTATAGTAAAAAACATGAAAATTTTAGTGAAATTATTATTATTATTATTATTATTATTATTTTATATATTGTTTTTGTTTTGGAATAATTAGGGGTACCAAATGAAACTGTTTTTCTTGTTGCAAGTTTTGATAAGGTGAGGCAAGGGAGAAGGTGAAGGCAGTTGTCAAACTGCCAAAATCCACAGACAGTTAACGGAAGGTAAACACCTGCGAATAGTATATCTTTAGTTAGAACTGCTAGAGCAGTACAGCTAGCTATTTCGTGGAGGGAGGGGGTGTATGAGTGCCATCTATGGCTAGGTTTTGCTGGTAGATAATGGTAAACCAGGCGGGAGGAATGGTGACAGGTTCCCTTCTATGGCTAGGCTGTTCTCTTCCTGCTGTGGCTATGTCACTCTTGCTCACCACATTCTCTTTCTACTCTCTTCTTTTGAATGTATCTCTTATTGTGTTAAAACTTAAATTTATTTCTTTTTTATTTATTTGTCTTTATTTCTTTCTTGGCTGAGTCAGTTAGGCAAGAATTCCAATGATCCGTCGCACCAGTGTTTTTATCCATTTCAGTTATTGGAATAATCTTTATATCTGTCGTGATTCTTTTTCTAGACTGGCTCAGTAAGGCTCAAGGATAAGTGGAACATATTCTTTGGTGAGAAAGTCATGACAAAAGAAAGTCAAGAAAGATATAAAGATTGTGAAGAATAAAAACTGGTGTGAAAGAACATCGGGATGTTATCCATAATGAGTTAACATATAAATAAATTTAGATGTTAATTCAAGAAGAGATATATATCCGAAAGAGAAGGAATGGGGGGAGGAACAATGTGACATAGCATGTGGTTCTATGTTACATATATAAATGTGAATGCACCTCTGAGTGCGGCTGTCTGCTTACATGAATCCTACGCATCATGTCTAGTTATCAGGAAGAGTTGGAGAACCTCGGGTTTTGGTCTAGCTATCCTAGTGTTACATAACGTTACTTACATTATATTTCTTTGCCACACACATACGCATATACATTCAATTTGTTTTGCTCTGCTTTATGAAGCCTTTATTTAAGATTATGTAAACTGACGAGGTTGCCTGAACAATGCAGACAGTTTGTGCTATGTGGCAAGTACTCATCACCTGATCATTGAAAATCATAGCAAATCGTATCAAGATCGAGTACAGACTTCGGTTGCAAGATCACTGAAGATAAACCATTGACTTTACACAATCTCTTCTATTTGTACTTCTGGACTGATACAGTGGTTGAATAGGAAACGTACATTGATGAAATTTGTAGTTCAGTGGTGTGTGGAGAATAGAAGAATCATCTGAATGACCGTTCTGCATCGTTAATTTGGAGAAATATTGAGAAACCCTCTAGAAATAATCGAAGAGTTATTTTTTGCTACAAACTGGTGACAAGTAGTCTTAAGAAAATTCAAAATACTGTTTTCGATCCTTCTTGTCACAAGAAAACATTTTTATTCTAAAATGCCTAAAATCATCAATTAATATAAATATCAAAATCAGCAAAATTTAAAATCTGAATTACAACAGTAAGCTGTTGATTAAAAGCAAAGTTTTCCTATACTTGTCTCAACTTAAGATACAAAAGAGAGCTAACCCGAGAGACATCGTCTCTACCTCTTCTCACACAACTACAAACGTGTTTATTATTTACTTATGTTTTCGCGGTATTGTACTTATGTTACTCACGAAATCGTAATGACACGATTGCAAACAAACCATACCACAGGCGGGGATAGAACCCGCGATCAGAGTCTCAAAACTCCAGACCGTCGTGTTAGCCACTGGACCAGCTAGCCACAATAAGATTCGTCCAACTAGGTATATTTCTACACCATAGGAAGGTTAGCATAGGCACCACTGTGACCACAAATGCAAGTTTTTACAGACGAATCTCCAGCTAGCATGGCCATGACGAACTCTAGCTCAAGTCCCCTCAAAGCCTATGCTAACCTTCCTATGGTGTAGAAATATACCTAGTTGGACGAATCTTATTGTGGCTAGCTGGTCCAGTGGCTAACGTGACGGTCTGGAGTTTTGAAACTCTCTGATCGCGGGTTCTATCTCCGCCCGTGGTATGGTTTGTACTTATGTTCGCTTCATTGTGAGTTTGAAAGTGAATTATTTGTGTATAATTTTAATTCTGTACATTCTTTGTGACTTTGGAAGATAAATTAGATAAAACTAGAACAACTATGATTGACACGCTTATTTTGAGGGGCTCATTGTACGTCTCCCAAAATTCAGAAAAAGAAAGCTACCTTCATCAACTGAATATTACATGGAAAGACTTAAAAAGGCAATCGCTAAAAGAAATAGGTCCGATATCCCAAGCATCTAAAAACAGTTAACTCGAAAATGGTCTAAAATCTATTAATCAGATTTAAATTGTCTGGAATAGGAACTTCTATACACAGTTCACAGTGAGAAAATCAAAACATTAAAGACAAATATGGAAATGCTTTCAGATGCACCATTATTTCCTCCATAGCTTGAGCATCTCTGTCTATTATGCCAGGACAAAAGATTAGACTAACTGCAATCATAATCTGGAAAATGCACAGTTCCATCAAAGATTAAGAACTCTTCATGCTATGGTATCTGATGATTTTAATGATTGATACCACATGCCCTGTTTAGTGATATTTAATCTGTTAGCTGGAAAAACTCTAAGGGAAACTAAATACGTCGACATTCCTTTAAACTAGCTTATAATTAAAGGAAATTAATAAACGAAGCTGGGGATGTGTTTTCAAACTGGCAAAGGTCTGGAATAGAAAATATATACTAGTCAGAAGAAAATCCGGAAGTCCAGCCTCATTCAGAAGCCGCTGGTTTTTTTTTTCTCTTTGTTTTCCAAGAAAAACTCGTCCTGTGTTGAAGACAGTTGAATTTATTCCATCGCTTCATGAAAATCATGATAATTACTGAACCCTCGTTATACCCTCTAAGACCAATCACATACCTTCAGCCTAGTTTGTGGAATCAGAGAATTCTAACGAAATGCTTAGGTAGAGAATAACGTCGTGTCATTTATTTATGTGGCACTGAATATAAGTGGGTACAATACCAGGCATATAAATCACTAAGGTCTCAGCGTGAGTAATGTATTAGAGTGAATTCCCGATATGTTCTACAAGCTTTTGAGGAAATTATTCAGAGAATAAAATCTCCTTGACAACGTTAATGAAGATGTCACTGTCCAGGATGATGAGCTAGATCTGCCAAGGAAATTATTGCGCAAGACAATGTATATATTCAATGTCATCGGTGCTCTGCTCTTGACTTCAACCCCAGCGAGCGACGCTTTGAAATGCTTTTAATAGGAGCAAACTATCAAAGCATCCGAACCCTAATTTTCCTATATTGAAAGACTTGATGAAGGAGGAACCTCCTAGACAGCTGCATGGAAATACTAACATACCGATGTAGAACAGGTTACATAACGCTACGATGTAAGCGCCGAAAATCCAATTAATTTTCACCATGTTATATTCTACCGAGGTACTGCATTGTAAGTGCATGAACACAACAGATAAAAGGCTCTAAACAGCCTTCCTGCAATGAATTAAAATGGGTGATAATACTATAACACTATGTTGTCTAGTGGTGCAAATGTAAATATCATTAACGGTACTAAGATATCAGTCGTCAAAATATTCTCAGGTTAAATGTATTTATTATTTATTGTGGTAATGTGTTATCTTGAATGCTTCTCGTTGACCCAATCTAACAAATGTTTTGTTTTGAAAATAATCAGAATAAATTGTTCTTGTGATATTTTCGATACTTTTGAGTTCCTCTTGGAGTTCTATGTTGCTTTCGTTTATACGCAACATAAATTATAATAAGGAGAATGCAAGTTACTATCTCAAAAGTCTTGCTGGGAAGCATATTTTAAGCAGCATTATGGATCCTAAACGGTTAATGATATTTTGTTAACAGTCACTTTCAAACCGGCCATACCCAAAAGGATTCAGACAAATGTTTAGTTAATTTCTAAAAGCAAACGTCTCATGGTGTTAGATTTTCTGAAATAACCTAAGAGTAGCTGATATTAAAAATCCCGAGTATCACAATCAGGCCACAGTCAACTTTTCCATGACAATTCTGATAGTGACAACGTTAACTTTCTTGACGTTGTCACCATTATGTTTCTTGGATGAATATATGGTGCCCTTGGAAGATATTATGAGGGCCTTGGATGGATATATTACGTTACTGGTAAGAAAACGCGATTACTTAAGCGAAGTACACCTTACAGTTCGCTCGGATTTCCATTTTCATTTAGCCTAGCTTTAAGTTTCTATCGCTTGTATACATTTTTCCCCCCATTTTTTGACGTTATGGTACAGAATAATTTGATTTATTTTAGCTAATAAAAGATATAACTTAACCAAACTTTATATAATTTAGCATGTTAAAAATGTATTGCGAGAAATTTACGTAAGTATAAAAGAAATCGACGCTGCCTAAATTTAGGAGGACGTGTTGGGTATTATTAAGTAAGGATTATGTAGGACCTCTAGAGTGAGAGGGGAGGGAAGGTAATTAGCTTCGATTCAAGGGATAGAGGGTAGCTTTAATTCCTTAGAACAAGAGTCATTCACCAGTATCCAGGTACTCACCCTTTGAAATAATTAATGATACATATAGAATAAATGTCTCGATCACTTTTCAGGGGTTTTCAATATTTAAAAATATTGCCCGTGAATCCAGGTCATAAGTGACAAAGATAGTTATACAACACGATATTTCTACAAGCTGCAATTAGAGTAATACTCAAACTCAACATGTTGACGTATTACTTGGACTAAATAACTTTGCTTTACTTTCGTTACACAGTGACAGTGTCTAAGAACAACAGAGTAGTTGATCATTACCAGGAGGAGGCATCCAGAATGAGTAGCATGGCGTTCATCATAGAGAAAGAAGTGTATAGGTGAGATAGGTCTGAGAGAGGCCGGCGAGTGATGGCCAGGAACCGAGTGGACCACAACAGAAGGCGGCCCTTGAGAGCCCACTTGACAGAAGCTGCCAGGAAGGTGGAGTCATCACTCACCACCATCACCGTCACACACCACGACATCTGCCGCAACTGTGAACATGAGAAGTTATGTAGTTAGTTTCACTGCTATTGCAGTTTGCCTCTCTATAAGTCACAGCTTCAGTATTAACGCAGGTGACTTACCTGACGAGCCTGAGCAACCACTCGGGATAACCGAGCCTCCTGATTTGCACTGTTGCTCTCTGCTGTCACCTCAAACACTGTAAACCCCCAGGACGCTCCCAGTCCTTCTAATTCCTGCAATAAGGAAAGAAAAGCTAAAGTTCAATTTTCAATTTATGTAGAGTTTTTTAGTAAATAAACATATACAGCGTATATATATACAGTAGACAGTCATTTAGCACGAGTTTATTTGGCACGATTTGGGTATAGAACGACTGAAGAACTGCGGCACAATTTTATGTAACACGTCATATGATGAATTGAACACGGTTCAGTTTGCGGGAAGGAAAAAACTTCCCTTTCCTCATGCGGCCGCCTTGTTGTGGTTCAACTGGGGAGACCTCCCTCGGTCCCCAGCCCCCCCCCCCCACCATCACCTAACTTTCTTACTGAACGACTTGACTGACTTACTGAATGACTTGACTGAATTACTGAATGGCTTGAGACTTATTGAATCACTTGGCTGACTTACTGAATCACTTTACTGAATCAACTTGAATACCAGAACCTCTACCATCCACCTCAGCCCAGTAGGACCACAACATAACTCTCCACTCTCATCACAATCATCCACAAACACCAGCACCCACAATTTAAGGTAAGAAATACTATTATTTCTGTTACATTTGTAGTCCTAAGCTGTAAAAACAACATAATACATCATAACAATGAACTACAATTACAATTTCACTTTTATTTTTGTAAGATGTGGAGGTCTAAAAAAAGTTGTTTGGCTTTTTTGGGGCTCTCAGTAACGTAACCCTATTTTTCCAATAAGTTCTTCAGCTCATCTAACACGGTTTTACCTAACACGGTGTTTTCAGGAACGTAACTACCGTCTAAATGACTGTCTACTAAATATATATATATATATATATATATATATATATATATATATATATATATATATATATATATATATATATATATATATATATATATATATAATTGTAATTGTTTTACATGATGGTAGGATTGCTGGTGTCCTTTTTTGTTTCAAAAACATGCAAGATTTCAGGTACATCTTGCTACTTCTACTTACACTTAGGCCACACTACACATACATGTAAAAGCATATATATACATGCCCATCTGGGTTTTCTTCTATTTTCTTTCTAGTTCTTGTTCTTGTTTATTTCCTCTTATCTCCATGGGGAAGTGGAACAGAATTCTTCCTCCGTAAGCCATGCGTGTAGTAAGAGGTGACTAAAATACCGGGAGCAAGGGGCTAGTAACCTCTTCTCCTGTATATATTACTAAATGTAAAAGGAGAAACTTTCGTTTTTCCTTTTGGGCCACCCCGCCTCGGTGGGATACGGCCGGTGTGTTGAAAGAAAGAAATATATTTTAATGAATCGGCCATCTCCAACCGAAGCAGGGTGTCCCAAAAAGAAAGAAAATCCCCCCAAAAACACTTTCATCATTCAACACTTTCAATTCTCTCACACATAATCACTGTTTTTGCAGAGGTACTCAGAATACAACAGTTTAGAAGCATATACGTATAAAGATACACAATACATCCCTCCAGACTGCCAATATCCCAAACCCGTCCTTTAAAGTGCAGGCATTGTACATCCCATTTCCAGGACTCAAGTCCGGCTAAATAAAAAAAAAAAATAGTTTCCCTGAATCGTTTCACTAAATATTACCCTGCTCACACTCCAACAGCTCGTCAGGCCCCAAATACCATTCGTCTCCATTCATTCCTATCTAACACGCTCACGCACGCTTGCTGGAAGTCCAAGCCGATTGCCCACAAAACTTCCTTTACCCCATCTCTCCAACCTTTTCGAGGACGACCCCAACCCCGCCTTCCTTCCCTTTCAGATTTATACACTCTCCATGTCATTCTACTTTGATCCATTCTCTCTAAACGACCAAACCACCTCAACAAACCCTCTTCAGCCCTTTGACTAATACTTTTATTAACTCCACACCTCCTAATTTCCACACTCCGAATCTTTTGCATAATATTTACACCGCACATTGCCCTTAGACAGGACATCTCCACTGCCTCCAACCGCCTCCTCGCTGCAGCATTTGCAACCCAAGCTTCACACCCATATAAGAGTGTTGATACTACTATAATTTCATACATTCCCTTCTTCGCCTCCTTAGATAACATTTTTTTGTCTCCACATATACCTCAACGCACCACTCGCCTTTTTTCCTTCATCAATTCTATGATTCACCTCATCCTTCATAAATCCATCCGCCGACACGTCAACTCCCAAGTATCTGAAAACATTCACTTCTTCCATACTCCTCCTCTCCAATTTGATATCCAATTTTTCTTTATTTAAATCATTTGATACCCTCATCACCTTACTCTTTTCTACGTTCACCTTCAACTTTCTACCTTTACACACACTCCCAACCTCGTCCACTAACCTTTGCAATTTTCCTTTAGAATCTCCGATAAGCACAGTATCATCAGCAAAAAGTAACTGTGTCAATTCCCATTTTGTATTTGATTCCCCATAATTTAATCCCACCCCTCTCCCGAACACCCTAGCATTTACTTCTTTTACATCCCCATCTATAAATATATTAAACAACCATGGTGACATTACACATCCCTATCTAAGACCTACTTTTACCGGGAAGTAGTCTCCCTCTCTTCTGCACACCCTAACCTGAGCCTCACTATGCTCATTATATATTATTATATATATATATTATAATATATATATATATATATATATATATATATATATATATATATATATATATATATATATATATATATATATATATATATGTCGTGCCGAATATGTAAAATTTTCTCTTGAACGTTTAAAGATATATTTTTTTCATTAATGTTGATGTAAAAATTAATAATATTGCACGAAAAGGAACTTAGAAAACTTACCTAACCTTATTATAACAAGAGCAATTTATTTTATCCAAACCCAACTAAATATATTTAACATTTGTTTACAATAATTTAATACTAAACAAACACAGTGAAATATATTTTTTTCGTTAGGTTCAGAATGATTTTGGCGAAATTATTGCATAAACAAATTTTCACTTGTCCTATATGGCAAGATGAGCGTTGCTATTTAAGCCAAGATAGCAAGTTCTGCCTATTCGGCACGACATATATATATATATATATATATATATATATATATATATATATATATATATATATATATATATATATATATATATATATATATATATATTTCTCAATAACAACACTGCGACTAGCCAACGACTCGAACCCATGCTGCTTTGGCCTGCCTCATGGTAGGCGAGAACTCATGACACCTTAATCCACTGGACCACACAATCCTTAAGAGTAGCGCACCCAGTGGAACTGAATGTTGTACTCGCTACCAAAGGACATACGTTGGTGTGGATGACTCTAGGCTAATATCATTCTAGTCCCTGTTTGGAGCACCAGTCCAACGAGCAGTATTTTATTTTATTGTGCCCACGATCAAGTGATATTGATCAGTAAAAAGACCAAACAGGAACCAGAATGAAATTAGGCAGGCCAAAGCAGCATGGGTTCGAGTCTTTGGCTACTCGCAGTGTTGTTACTGATCAATACCACTTGTTCGTGGGCACAATCATATAAAATACTGCTTGTTGGACTAGTACACCAAACAGGGACTAGAATGAAATTAGCCTCGAGTCACCCACACTACCGTATGTCCTTGGGTAGCGAGTACAACATTCAGTTCCGCTGGAAGCGCTACTCTTAAGGATTGTTTGGTCCCGTGGGTAAAGGCGTTATGAGTTTTCGCCTACCATGAGGCAGGCCAAAGCAGCATGGGTTCGACTCCTTGGCTAGTCGCAGTGTTATTGATCAATACCACTTGTTCCAGGGCACAATAATATATATATATATATATATATATATATATATATATATATATATATATTATATATATATATCTTTTTTCAGCACATCGGCCGTATCCCACCAAAGCAGGGTGGCCCAAAAGGAAAAGCGAAAGTTTCTCCTTTTACATTTAGTAATATATACAGGAGAAGGGGTTACTAACCCCTTTCCCCTGGCATTTTAGTTGCCTCTTACAACACGCATGGCTTACGGAGGAAGAATTCTGTTCCAGACCCATTGACACCACCAGGGACCCAAGGGCAGCCACTTTCATGTTCTAGCGCCTCAGCGTGGCCATCCAGAGGGGAAATGCATGCTGCATACTTGGCTCGCGTCCGGCTTCAGAGGAGCTGGAGGAAATATCATGATCTTCAATACATTGCACCTATTGCATTCATGTTTGTGTTTTCTATAAATGTATTCTGTCTATTAATAAAAGTTCCCATAGAATGTACAATATAGGGGGTGGAAGGAGAAGAAAATATTCAAACAGCTCTGGGGAGAACCTTGAGTTTTCCCTGAGGTACGTTTATTTTCTGATGATGAGGGTCCCCAGTCCAGCTATGAAGGTGGTACCTCCATATATATATATCTATATATATATATATATATATATATATATATATATATATATATATATATATATATTATATATATATATATATATATATATATATATATATATGTCGTGCCGAATATGTAAAACTGGTCAATTAGCAAGAACTCATTTAAAATGAAGTCCTTTCTGAAATTTTCTCTTATACGTTTAAAGATATATTTTTTTCATTAATGTTACTGTAAAAAGTTTTAATTTTGCACCAAAAGAATCTTAGAAAACTTACCTAACCTTATTATAACAAGAATAATTTATTTTAGCCTAACCCAACTAAATATATTTTAGATTTGTTTACAATAATTTAATACTAAACAAACACAGTGAAATATATTTTTTTCGTTAGGTTCAGAATGATTTTGGCGAAATTATTGCATACACAAATTTTCACTTGTCCTATATGGCAAGATGAGCGTTGCTATTTAAGCCAAGATGGCAAGTTCTGCCTATTCGGCACGACATATATATATATATATATATATATATATATATATATATATTTATATATAAACATTGTCTCTACGTCCACAGCAGGACTCGAACCTGCTAACTCTATATAAGAGTCCACAGTACTTTACCACGGAGCTAGACCCGCGATAAGTA